GTGGCTCTCCTGGAGCCTGCTTCCGCCTGCTCGCGCCCTTGGCTCCCGCCGAGCCTCTCCGCGCTGCTCGTGCCCTTGGCTCCCGCTGAGCCTATGTGCCAGCCCTGTCTCGGGCTTTCCGGCGCTGAGGCTCAGGTGGCATGCACCCGTGCCTGGCCCCTGACCCTTCTCATGGTCCCTATGCCATGCGCCTCTTGTGTGCCTGCCCTCGCTGGGGCCTGCTCCACGCTGCACGCGCCCTTGGCTCCCTCCAAGCCTGCTCCGTGCTGCGCGCGCCCTTGGCTCCCTCCGAGCCTCTTGGCTCACTCCGAGCCTACGTGCCAGCCCTGTCTCGGGCTTTCACCGGCACTGGGGCTCAGGTGGCATGCAGCCGTGCCTGGCCCCCTGACCCTTCTCAGGGTCCCTATGCCACGCGTCTCTTGTGCGCCTGCCCTCGCTGGGGCCTGCTCCACGCTGCGCATGCCCTTGGCTCCCTCCGAGCCTGCTCCGTGCGGCGCGCGCCCTTGGCTCACTCCGAGCCTACGCGCCAGCCCTGTCTCGGGCTTCCCAGCGCTGGGGCTCAGGTGGCATGCAGCCGTGCCTGGCCCCTTGACCCTTCTCAGGGTCCTAGGCCCTCCCTGGGCCGAATACTGCCCTCTCGGGCTGGGGTCTCAACCCCACACACCGCACCACGCTGGTGCCAAGTTGCCGCGCCTTCCCGGCGCTGCTCGGTGCCTGCACAGGGCACCCAGGAAACCCCCGGACTACTTGGGATCTCCTGTGAGGCCTCCTCACACCCCTACAGCCTCACCCAGTCCTCCGGATGATACACACAACTGAATCATAAACCAACCGGCTGCAACCAAAATCATAAGCCTACCGGCTATAACAACACAATCAGCCTACCGGCTTCTACATCAAGTCCCGGCCGTCTTGGCTGTCGGGCCAAAGCCTTCTCGGGTCAGGCTTCTCTCTGCCTGCACCATAATGCAGCCCTCCATGTGCCAAGCGGCACTGCTCAGTTTAGCTCTCCCGCAGAGCTCTTCCACACAGGCTGCCAGAAAGGAATGCCAGCCAGGCTCTGGCCTAGCTGTTTATAAGGGCCCAGCCCTGCCCCCTTCCGGTCACATGGCCGACCTGGTTTCTCCCGCAACCCACAGCTGAGCTGCCCTGATGATTGGCAGCTCCTCCAATCCTTACTCAGGAACGGGGCACCCAAGTGCCCCCGTGACACCCCCAAATAACTTTTTCTCCCTCTGCCTCAATCTGCCTCCCCACTTCCCACCCCACAGATTTATCTGGTGGGCGGGGGTGGGAGAGGTGTGGCAGCAACGCACAGTAGATCTTGGTTTGCTTTTAAATACCAAAGGCGATCTACTTAAAAGGCTGGAAACCGCTGGACTAAAGCACAGGACTGGGGGCCAGTAGTTATGGGTTCTCTTCTATGATCCATCACTTGTTTGTTTTCATTTACTTTGACTGAGTAATGTAATCAATGTTTCTCAGTTTCCCCAGATCAAAAAGATGTTGTTAGACTATCTCATTATCTGGCGCTAAGCCCTTACTCTTCAACAGAGCACCTCTAGATCATTAGATGTCATAGAACAGTTATTCTCAATCTTTTGCACCTCTCAGAAAATGCCAGCTCTTAGTTTTCACTCATTTTTGGACAATGGAAAATTAAAGGGGAAATTTTTCTGTTTCAAAGAACTCAGAAAGACTACAGTTACAGATTTCTAGTTGAAATTCCCAGGTTTATCTTGTGAATCAGGTTTGTAAACCCAACAGTGCATGGCACCCTACAGTACCTTTGAAAGGTTCTCAAGGCACCCCCAGGGTACCACAGTACCCTGGTTGACAATCACTGTCATAGCAATTCAAAGCATTATTATATCCCATTAATAATTCCTTTGACATTAATTTACATGGTTATACACCTGGGTCACCTTTTAATGGTAATATAAAGAAAAGCAAATTAAATAAAACAATCCAATCCCCATAGTAGGCAACTTTCGTTTGCATCAGATAATCTATCTCCATCCTTTCTTTTAGTGCCAAGTGCTAGACATATTAACTATAATGATGACGAATGCTGTGAAACAAAAAAAACTTACTCAGGTAGTTGGATGGTGAAATAGCCATTTGAAGTGGTGCGCATAAAAACCAAAGGATTAGCTCAATGCCCATGGTTACTGACAACATGACCAACATCCTATGCCTTATTAGCCAAGCAATAATATACCATTTTATGACAGAGCCTTCCAAAGCTCAGTCAGATATATTCCACAGATTAAGAAATCTTGGTTTACCCTTTTAGAGGATTAGCATATGCATTAGGCTGAGACTTCAAATGGCCTGACTTTCAAAATCTGTTGAGCCAAAATGCTTGTGCAAAGGTGAAAATGCAAATATAACTGTGCCTGTGCTGAATTGTACCATTACTGCACGTACAAATTGAGCAACTTCAAGTTTGAACTACCAGTTTGATAAGTAACCACCTACCTACCTGCACATGCTTTCTTTCAGTTCACTTGCAACACTAGTGTAGCTGCACAAACATGTTAGGTGCCCCTCACTCCCCCCGCCACAGCCCTTTCTAGCACGTATAACAGCACATGACTATCTTTGACAATCAGCACTGAAAAGAGACCATGGATGGCACAGTCATTCAGAATGCAGAGTGTTCAGTGCTTTTTATCTAATGAGAGAGAAGGATGAGTTGTGGTAAATGTTCATAATATTTAGGTTGATCAATCTTGGTATGGAGGGAAACTGTTTTTACACTGTGCTGAATTTACCGAAACTGACTATTGGATGCATCTGTGTCATAAAATGTCAATACAGTTATGCATTTCTATTCTAAAAGCACCATTACCTGCTGATCATCAGGAGTCCATATACCACAGGTGATCTGACTCTCCAAATTTATCTCTGATGACCAGTGTCTCTGTCCACTGACTGAACCAACCAGCACAAATCCATCTCTATAGGAAATTAGTGCTTGAGTCCCATCATGGCTCCAAGTAAAGTCGCTCACCTTAACACATAAAGGAACAAAAAAATTAGACATAATTTATGCAGTGGTCTTCACATTATTTTAATTAAGACAGATTTGCATAGTATCAGACAAAGTGACTCCCAGAGAAAGTGCTGTACATTTAAAAGTGTGGTATTGATGCCTATTATGTTCTGGTAAAAATTCAGTATGTTTTTCTCTCCTTTTATAACAATTCTGTATTTTCACGGATGCTCTCCAATCCTGAAAGAGCAACAACATTAATGTTTGATATTTTAATCCTACTCTTCTTCTCAAGTTCTCAAAGTGTTCTGGCAAAAGTTAGGTTACTCCTGCAAGTATTTTTATCCATTTTATAACTGGAGAAGTTTAACATGGGTTTAATGCAAGGTATCATAAAACTTGCTTAGAATGCATTTTGTATAACATGTGACTAGAAATCAAAAAGGTCCTGAGAGTACAGCAGCAACAGGGTTAAGGAATATTACAGCCCTGCCTGTGAAATTCATCTATACCCTAAGAAACAGCAACGAGAAGTGGATTCACTGAGAAGACATAACTCAAGAATTTTCTTAATGTGGTCCTTCCTGGGTGAAAATGTTTGGGGGCAATTCAAGCCTCAAATAAGACCTTAAAATAAGTTATAAATAGGATGTGAGCAAGTGCAGTGGCTTGTCCTGGTTCTCTGTCTAGTGACACATATGTTAAGACCCAAGATAAGCCAGACAGAGCAAGAGCCTCTGTGACATTACAATTCAGTAAGGGTTTTTTGTTGTTTGCTTGTTTTTTTAAATTATACACCTCAAATTTTCATCCTCTTCATATTGGGCCTCTTAAGACTTGCTCATTCTTGATGGAAGAGAACATTTGCATACTAACCTGTGCCCCCCGGTCATTTACAAGTTCCACAGACCATCTGCCTTCATACTGAATCCAAACAAATATTCCTCCATCTGCATCACAGGTTGCCAGTTTCTGGAATGGCTCATTCCATCTCACCAACACAACCTAAAGAAATGGCAAAGAAATGCAACATCACCAAAACTGTACACAGTGCTAACGAGCGCTTTGCAAGAGTCAATTAACTAATACTGCAAAATAAACAATGTCACTTTTAAATTCTAAATAAGTTCTCTAAAACAGTAATTTTCAGCACAACATCAGGCAGCACTCAAGCACAGCTGGAGTCATTTTGACTGTCAAACAACTCAAAAATTCCCCTGACTGTTAAGGCCTTTTTGCAAAGCATCAGATTTCTCTGAAACAAGCAAAAACAAAAATGCTGCACGTGGCAGCCATTCTCCACCTTTTTAGAATTAGATCATCCCTCGTTAGACTCAAGGCACTCCTCAAAAATACCAACTCTTAACTTTTACTCATTTTCAAACTATGTAAAAATAGTAGAATAATTCTTCTGTTGCAAAGAACTCAGAAAGACCACAAGTCAAAATGTTCTGACAGTATGGATTACTACTCAAAATCTCAGGGTTTATCTTGTGTATCATGTGTAGAAGTTTGCACAGCTAACAGTGCTAATAATTGTGTGGCATCCTGTGGCACCCTTAAAAGGATCTCACAGCATCGTGGTTGAGAATCATTGCTATGCGGCAGTCCAGAATTCCACTACAGAAAAAGCAAACAAACCTAGAGGTCCTAGTACACCCACAATCCACCCTCTAAAACCACTTCCCCACCATCACCTCAACCCAATCACACTGGGCTCCTATAGGCATGAGTGGAGCCTGTTCCAACCCACTGGAAATCCAGCATATTGGAGCAGACTTGATTAATCGAGTCTGTTGGAGCACAGAAATTGACGTGCTCCAGCAGCCTTCGACATCATGAGTATCAGCGTCCCCACATGGAAAATATGGCGGTAGGGTGCTTTGAAATAAAACACATCCAATGAGCTTTAGTCCAAAGTGTCCTGATGCCTTTTTTTCAGTGCAGGGATGCACGGGGATGTTGATATGTGTGACGTGGGTGTTTTTAATTAGCAGAGCTCGCTAACTAAAGCACCGGTGCCACATCCCAAAACACATGTAAAAATGCCCACTGATTTCAATGGAGTCAGGATAGCATTACCATATTTCTAGTTCCAAAACAAAAGACATGTGTCATGGGGACACCTCACTCCCAACCCACAGCCTCCTGGACCTGCCAGTGTCCCTCACTCCCAACCTGCAGCCCTTCATCCCTGCTGCTGCCCCTCACTCCTGACCTGCAGACCCCTGGCCCTGCTGGTGCCCCTCACTCCTGACCCTCAGCCCTCTGGTGCTGCCACAGCTGGCCCACAGTCCCACCAGTGCCCCTCACTCCCCCCCACGCCCCCACATCCCTGGCAGCGCCCTTCACTCCCGACCTGCAGTGCCCCTATTCCCCTCAGTCCTGCTGGAGAAGGCCTCCAGCTGCCCCCATCCTGACCAGGCCAGAATGTGACAGCTAAAGCCACTCCAGCTCCTGTAGGGAGCAGCAATGTGAGTCCAGCCCTGGTGTGGGCTGAAGGGAAGAGGAGGGGACACCTGTAGAACCCCCCACCCCAGACTGGGGCTCCTGCGCTGCACCAGGCTGCTTGGCTATGCCTCCCCATGCCCCAGGCAGCATCTCCCAGGTGCCCCACACCTGACAGCATGGGCACTGGCTCCCCACTGCCCCAAAGGACCCCACCCTAAGTCCCTTCCCCTGCTGGAGAGGCAGGTGCCCCCCCCTGCTTTTGTGCCCTGCCACAGCCCTTGTGCCTAGATACCATTCCCCATCTCCAGCAGGCACCCGCCCTCCCTCATACACCCAATCCCTCCACCCCCCCCACACGTGTGTGTATGCACACGTGCACACACACAGAGGCACATGGTGCCCCTGCCTTCAGTCACTCTTCCCTGCTCCTGCCAGCAGAAAGGAGCAAAATCCCAGACATTTGTTCAGCTTTCAGAAAAACACCTGGATGAAAATCAGAGGACCCAAAAAGAGGACACATCTGGGTAAACCTGGATGTTTAGTAACCTTAGGTCAGGACCACTTATAATAGGTACCAACTGTCCAGTAAAAACAGTCTAGTGCAGGGGTATGGCCCGTGGGCTGGATACAGCCCACCAGGCTCTTCTATCTGGTCCGCAGGGCCCCGAAAAAGTTCAGAAAATTAATATATATCTGCCCCTGGCTGCCTGTCACGCAGCCCTCAACGGCTTGCCAAAACTCATTAAGCAGCCCTCTGCCCAAAATAATTGCCCACCCCGGTCTAGTGTCTGTAATTAATCAATATGAATTAAACATGGATGCTGTTTGTTTTTTTTTTTGCTACTGAATGCATTAGGAGTCAAGAGTTTATGTGGGTCCTTCCTTTTCACAGAGAGATCTAGATACTTCCCACAGAACTTAACCAAACCAAAATCTATCATGACTTAGCTCTCATTTATAATCAGCAGGAAGCCAATATGGAGGTCTCAAATACATAGATAAAATGAACCTGGCCATTATAGTGATTCAAACAGAGCTTAGCCTTAGAGTTAAAAAAAACCAAAAAACCTTCTACTAATGACCCCTCACCCTTTTTTTCTAACACAGTATTCTTTCCAAAGTGCCAGAATAATTCACATACTCTTATATGTGTGTATGCAGATACATACATGTGTGCACCCACAAATACACGCCACTTTATAACAGCCTAATACAGGAAAAAATGAAGAAAAACAATATTAAGTCATCAATTATGGCAGCGTGATTTTAAATTATTGTACCAGCACCCAGATCCCAAGTTGACATTTGCTGAAATGTTAGACGACTTTCATAAATTCAAATAATCACCGTACATTAAATACACACATATGTGCACACACACATACACACACAAGACATGCAAGCACACATGCACACATATACCAGGACTGTTTCCTGAAATTCATTCCGCTGCTTCTTTAAATGGAATTATACTCATTAAGAGCCTGAGGCTGCATGTACTACTTTTAACAGAATCAGGAGCTAGATATGCAAGATGGGATCTGAATTTGCTGGCTGAATCAAGCTCATATACCAGTTATTAGGCTGTGAGGCTTCAGCAGATGTTATTCAGTGTAACTTGCCTTTGCTAAAGGAACCATCTTTTAGATACTGAAATAGCTGACCAGAAATTGTCTCTTGAAAAATCACATCAGGTGCCTGTGGAAAAGGTTGGCTTTATGGGGAGCGGTAAACATCTCCAAAAATCAGACCTACACTGTGATTGGGCTTTTCATAGATAAAGCAGAAAAAACTGCCAGGGGAATTTAGGTACAGTAGATAAACTAATTGCTAAAATAATGTTATAGTTCTTATCTAATCTCATAAAAGCCTTACATGCCATTGCATCTTACCACCTCACAGCTATGCTTGCCTCCTTTAAGGATTTAAGAAATATGTATGGTTGGGTTTTTTTGTGGGTTTTGTTTGTTTGTTTGTTTGTTTGTTTTTTGGTTTGTTGTTGGGGTTTTTTTTGGTTTTTTGTTTTGTTTTCTTTTGTTTTCTTTTGTTTTGTTTTACAGATTATGCTTACTTGTCTGGCTTGGTGATGTGAGTTAAGGGCAAAGTGTCAGTATTTCACTTGAAATATCTTGGGTCTCATCCATTTTAAATAGGAATTTAGCAAATATATCTTTCTCTTCTTTCTGCATTATAAGGGATGTGCAAATTGAACAGATTAGGTACAAATCATTTTGTAATTGAATTTCATCGTATGTGTAGTTTCTTTACATGTGATGGAAAATCCAAGAGTTCATTCAATCAGATATTCTTACAAATAGATTAACTAAGTAAACATATCTTTTACTAGGTTTTTAGGTTTTCCATGCTAAGCTAAGCATTCCCTCCCAGGCCACCGTGACTGTACCTAAATTAGTAACTTTATTCCCAAATCTCAGCCTGGTGTGAGTTTCAATGGCAAATGTCAAAGAGTTCCTGATGTTCAGAATCGTAAGTCCATTCCTATAATCAGAACTGAAAGCAGGACAATGACTACCCATGCCTTTTGCCAAGTTGCTCAACATGAAGTTATTTTTGAGACATTTCATAATTCATCTTTATAAAACACAGTACAGATGTTCTCATTTTACAAGGTTATTTGGAAGATGGTTCTCTCATTCAAAGTTAACATCTGACCAAAGGTGCTGATTCCACAGCTACCCAAGTATCTCCAGTTTCATTTCATGTGCTTACCATATTTGCAAAAAAGATTTAAAAAAAAAAAGGGACAAACACTCTCCAGGGCATTAAGATAAGTTTTAAATCAGCTATGGCTGCAAAACGCATGAAAACAAACCCAGGATGAAATCCACCCTTGCGCAGAGCAGCACCACATGGCCAACACACCCCACTTGCAACAGTGCATAAGCTTTGTCTAAGCTTTTAGCATGGGATAAATTTTATCCCAAATGCACAGATGAAATGGTTTGCTAACAAGCCTTATCACTTGGGGCCTAATTTTTACTTTTGCTCCCTTGAACTTTCTTGACTAGGTTGTCTAGTGTCCTCAGGTAGCAATTCATAACTTACTTGCTGCTTAAAAATTAAGTATAATACATTCATTTAGGGTGCAATCCAAAGGGCAACAAAAATCAATGGGAGTCTTCTCATGGAGTTTAATGAGTTTTCCCCCCTATGCAATATTAGATAATGCCAAATTGGTTTGCAAAGTAGAGCACTCATTGGTTTCAATAATTTTATCTTTAGCATCAACTATATTTTGTGGGATTAAGTGTAATTAATGCTAAAGCTGTAAAAAGAAAAGTCCCAAGAACTGATTGCATTGTTGTTATAATGACATAAACACAACAGAATCAACAGAAAGGAAAGCTTTTGAAAATTAGCTTTTGAAAATCATGCAGGATTAAGGTCTCTCTGTTCTTATGACACTTCTGCTGCTTTAATATTACAAATTTAAAGTCATCAGATCTATGGGAAGGATTAAATGTCACTTTTAATTTGAAAAAAAATCAACAGGAATATTAATACAGAGCCCAAGCTGCAGTGAAAAGCTTTCT